AACTTACCATGCTCTGTTCAGCAAAATATGCTACACAGCTTTTGATCCCTGATTCGGCTGTGCTGAAAGTGAAAGTTAAAGTGAACGGCCATGACTTGAAAGTAGTCCACATCTGCCCTCTGCTGGATACATTGTACATTTATGCCTTTTACAAGTAGACATAGCTCATTCTCAGCATTTTAGGGGTGAAAATTAGAAGTGAAAATTATCGTCTCTAAATGGGACAATTATCACCAATTCCGATATGTCCCCAAACGTCTGTATCGGCCTAAAATGTGGGCCCTACTGATGACAGTTGGTTTCGATATGAGCTGACAAACTTACTACAACTTTCGGCTGAAAATTTTGCCCAATATACACGTGCAAAAGCTACAAGCTGGGTGCTGTTTGATGGTTTCCTTGCTGCAGCTGCATTCTTTAAATCCAACCAAAGATTTTCAAATCAGGTGACTGAGAAGAACATTCCAGGATTGTTTTGTCAACCAAGCTATGGTTGTCTTGTATGTGTGCTTGGGTTTATTGTCTTGCTGTAAAGTCCAGTGATCAACAAAAGTTATTATGTTGACATAAGTCATCACATTCCTCTTCAAAATGGCCTGATATGTTTGGGAATCCATAATGCCAGGCACATGATCAAGTTCCTGCCACAGAAAAGCAGCCCCACATCATCAATGATCCATCTCAATGCTTGACTGTAAGGATTGTATTCCTCTGATCATAAGCCTGGCCTTTCACACGTCAGACATACCGCTGGTCCATATGTCTAAACAGTTCCAATTTGGTATTATCCATTGTTTAACAAAGTTCATGCTCAATCAGCCAGGTACCAAATCCAATAATGCTCAGTGAGGTTATCTGGACAGTTTCTTTTTTCTAGAGACGTTTCACCCTCTGTCCGGGGGGCTAATCAGTCTGAGGAGCTCCAAGTAAACTCTTTCCCTACAAAGCAGTAAACTCAAGTGGACCAACCAGTTTACTGGAGATAAGATGGTTTCTGGGGGCTTTCCTGTCCTCCGTCGACTCCTTCCGCAGGCAGCCACAACCAAAGTGGTTTTACCTTGACATGGTTCTCTTTCTGTTTTCCTGCACCTCTGTTCCCCATGTCATCATCCACAGCTGATCCTTATTCTAAATCACCCCAGGTGCTCCTCATTGTCTCATTAGTGTCAGTATTAAGACTGTGTGTTTTCACTCCTTTGGTATCCGGGCTTTATCCTTCCACGGTGTTATGGTCTGTGTCTGCTCCACCTATTGTATTAAATTCGAAGTAAGTTTTGCTGCCCCGTCAGCATTTTGTTTTGTTCAATAAATTATTAGTTATTGTTCACTATCAAGTCCTCCTGTTTTTCCTGCACGTGGGTTCAAACCATTAAACTGCAGATCATGACATACCTGGATGATTGAGCATGAACTTTGTTGCCTTGAAACACTTTGGCTGTGGCTGCTTGCCTGGAAGATGATCAGTCACCCCAAGAGTTGCCATGTATATCTGATGTAAAAGTTTGTGGTGAAGTTTACGTTGCTTGAGGTGAGTTTTTATGGCTCTGGAATGTTGTTTTTCTTTATTTGTAGCCTGTGCATCCAAATGTACCCCTGAGACACTGAACACTGTTGTTTTTGTGACTCGTGCTTGGAGTTGTTACTTTGGGCCTTTGTCTGCGTCTCAGGACTGCAGTGGACTGAAAGCCTGTGGGTCTCTGTGCAGACTTGTCTGACAAAGAAATTTACCCGTTACCTTCTTGAAATTTAAACCTCTGCACACACTCATATGCAGATATATTGTGTTTCTAATTTTCCAGACATTGAAACTAGTCAGTCATGTATATCAGCATAAAGGCACAGAAGAATGCAATCACAAAAAGTAGTAGCATTTATTTAACAAGTACAAACACATTCATGTTCACTTCCTTCTCAGTTTTCTGCTTAAACACACACACACACTCACGCATGCACACACACACACACACACACACACACACACACACACACACACACACACAAAGAGTGTGTGTGTGTGTGTGTATGTGTGTGTGTGTGAGAGAGAGAGTGAGAGAGAGAGTCCATGGCTTTGTCTACTTGATGTTTGTCTCTCTTTTTGTCCCCTGTTGCAGAGCAAAGATGGGGAATTGAAAATATGTTCCATCCGTCCATCTTGTGAACATGATAAGCTAAAAAACAAGTGAGGTTTCGACTTCCATTTTGGTGCTTGGCTGCATAATATTTTGACTAGGACTAAGGTTCCTCTGTAAAATTATGTGGCCACATCAAAATCCAAGATGGCCACCATATATATCCATCCATCCATCCATCCATTATTTTTCACCCGCTTCTTCTTTTTCGTTTCATGGGTGTTACTGGTGCCCATATCCAGCAGTCACTGTGCAAGAGGCGGGGGACACCTGGACAGGTCTCCAGTCCATCACAGGGACACATAGGGACAAATGAGACAACCATTCACTCCCCCACTCACACCTAGGAACAATTTAGAGTTACCAGTCAGTCTCACATGCATGTTTTTGGTCTGTGGGAGGAAACCGGTGTACCTGGAGAAAACCCACACATGCACAGAGAGAACATGCAAACTCCACCCAGAATGCCCCCCTACGGCCGGCGACCTTCTTACTGAGATGTGGCTTCCAGGAACTGGCCTGGTCATTGGTGCCCGTCACGATGGCAACCAAAGGATCCACTGGTGGACACCAGAGGTGATGGAGGCCTTCAGGACTTGGCTGTCCCAGAGGACATCTGAAGCAGCTAACAGTTACAGTGTGGCCAGAAGGACTGCAGCAGATGCAAAACTTCATCCATGGGAGGAATTCGGTGAGGGCATAGAAAAGGACTTTCAGTTCACTTTAAGGAGGTTTTGGCAAAGAATTTGAATCGCTGGCTCCATGTCAGGCCATGTCCACATTTGAGGAGGTAGAGACTAGTGTAGTGAACCAGATGACCTCAAATCTACCAGATGGACAGAGACTGTTATTTCCATTGATCTGAATAAGTCTGGGCCATCTGATGACTTTCTTTCTTGAATTAATCAAGCAGAAAAGACAATTCTTTATAATCATTACTGTCTTACAAATGTTTTGATAATCAAATTGTGTTAGTTCACTCAATGCTTATAGGTTGAAAAGAACTACTCATCTTTATTTTACATAAACAGTAAGTAATGATTTTTATTCCTCATTCCAAGAAGAAATCACCTGAATAAGCATTCCTTGATTTTCTGTCTGAAATGAGTCAAGTCGTAAGTATGTGAAAGGTTGGTTTTCGGTCAACTAAAATGTTTACCGAGAAAAATGTCATGTTTAAACTTTTTCAGAAGATTACCAAGAGTTGACTCCACGAAGTCTGCTGTTGCTGCAATAATCTTTTCTGTATGTGAAAACAAATTTCATTCTCTGACCTCGACCGTTGATAAACACCTTACGTCAAAACCACTCCTCTTTCTGGTCCTTCCACGAATCAGAAAGCTCTAAATTGAACAGGAAGTCGACCCAAATAAAATGTGGCAACTTCCCAGTTCATGTGAGATTGAGATTGAGATTGAGAGTGCAGCCGGTTCTGAAAGTTTCAGAGCAATGAAGAGTCCAAGAGAGCAATGAAGAATCCAGAGGTTTTTGGGATTATAATTCTGTTTTGAGCTAACTACGCACGACTCTCTGAAGGTTTGGTAGTTCTCGACGGAGACGCTGAAACGAGTCAGAAAGGAACTACTCCGACGCTGATTCATCATCAACAGGTAGATGGTTCTATTTCGACCAAGTGTACCGTGAGAAGCTGAGATCGGACGGAGCGTGCAATTTCTGGTTAAACAGATTAAATTTCCCTCACATATTTCCTCTGTAAGATAAATCTCAATTTACTCTTAAACTCACCTCTCTCTCATAAATCAGTGCAGATATTTTTAGAAATATCTGAAGCAAAGTCCTCAAATCACCGCCGAGTGATTTGAAGTTCATTATTTGTGAAACTGTCTGTTATTATTTTCATATTTTGCCAAATTAATGTAAATGTTTGATGTTAAACTTTGATTCTGAAAATAAATGATTCCATTCATTTGATGGGTCAAAGGTAATAACGTCTCTTGTTCGCATTCCTTTAAATTCAATGCACGGCATTTACAGTCAGAAAAATGAAGAACTCGTGAAAAGTATGCATAAATATATATCCATATATTTGTCATACAACAAGTGACACGTATCTCACGTGACTCACTACACTAGGTTATGGGAGTATGGGGTGACTGTGTTGCTTTTACAGGCTATCTGTTCCTTGTAGAACCAAAGCAGGAGCTATGTCTGCATTCTTGACACAAAGATAAGGTCATTTTGAGTGCGGGTTGGATTCTGCAAAGGCTGTCTTTTGTCTCTGCTCCTGTTTGTGGTGTTTTCTGGACAGGATCTCAAGATGCAGTCATGGAGTGTCATGGGTGTCTGGTATGGGAACCTCAGGGTCTCATATGTGCTTTATGTGGATGATGTGGTTCTGTTGGTGTCTTCAGATTGTTTCAAACTGTGCTTTATGTCAAGGTCAGTTTCATTAGTTTATTTTTTTTAATATAATTTTAACCAAAATTCAAAAGCAATGACTGGTATTCATTCACTTTTTTTGTATTTTTTCTTTTTATCATGTTTGTGAGTTTCAAGTTATTTCACTGACGGATGTGTTTTTTCTTCCTTTAACAAAAATGTCTAAACTAATTGATCCACATTTGTACAAAGTGTCATCCTGCTACAGAAATTTCACACACTCATTTCAAATATAGTATATGGACCGTGAAGTACCAGTTCTTATTAGTAATCTAAAGTAAAACATTCCTCAGGCTTATATTTCTTTTAAACAAAGTTGTAAGGAGCCACTGCAGAGGTCCTAAGGGGGCCTCTGTGGCTCCACATCTAGGGTTAGCACACCCCTGTCTAACTTCTCACTGGTGACACAGAGGTGGAGGTGTGTTGTTGGACTCATTTTGCTCATAGTTTGTTGGTGTGTGTTTTGTCCAGGTCTTTGTCAGGAAAGCTACTGGACTGGTCAACTGCAATGTCTTTCAACAAATACTCTGCTACCATGCTGGATGAGAGCAACAATGGGACACACACAGTAAGTCTCATCAGTACACACTGTCTTCCTGTAATAGTGTTTTTGTGCTTCAGCTGGCTCTAAAACTTGTCAGTTATTGTGTGTCATCAAGTTCTGCCTTAGAGTCTCATGTTGGCTGTGAGGCATGTGCTGCACACAGACAGCTACTGCACTGCTGGAGAATTGAAAAGATGGGGATAACAACAAAGTAGAGAACAAGGCTGAAAGAAGGAGGACAGAAAAGGCTGACAGTAGTTTAAAACAAATGTTTAAATACGGAGTTGAGTTGCAGACAGACATGCTTTGTTCCACAGTCTGTTTCCATCCTTTTCCACCATAAAGCCATTGAAAAGGCTTCTTACCATACGTTACTACTTCTTCCTCTTTTTTCTCTCATCTGTAAGGCTGTCTGAAAGGCACACTTCCTTCCCTCTACCATCTGCTGTTTATTCTATTATTCTGTTATACTTTATGGATCTCCACTTTCTCTTTTGTGTCCTTGGTTCATTTTCACCACTTTTTCATTCCTTTTCTCAGCTTGATTTGCCTCCTCCTCAGCTTTCATCTTTTATCTCTATCTACCGTTACGGTTTACACCTATAGGCCTGTTCAGACCTGGCATTACCAAGCATCAACCCTTGTTGATGCGCTGAGAATACATAATGATGCAAGCACTGCATGTATTGAAAGTCGTCAGTGTTTTTTTTTTAATTGTTTTTATGTTATTTTTATTTTATATATACTGTATATATATATATATAATTATTATTATTTTTTTTTATTAATTTATTTATTTTTAGGTATATCTTTGAAACCCTAACTTCTTTTTTCAAAGCCTTTCACACAGTTAGCAACACACAATTAGAAAAAGACAGCTCAGACCACTGTTCTAGGGAATCACTGGAAAAGCCAGCCTCAATATAACCAATGACAATGAGTTGAGAATTTGTGCTGCTACGTTTTAAATGCCTATCACATCAAACATTTCAATTCAGTTCAGTTTTTAAAGTGTTAAGTCACAACAGAAGTTGTCTCAAGGCACTGTACAAAAACATTCACATACAAAGCCAAATAGCCAACAAAACCAAAGGGATGTTGTTTTCATACAGGAAGTCAGTCCCAGCACTTCTTCCTTGTTTATTATTCTCAAATGGTGTCCCTATTGAGTTTGTCGATTCCTACAAATATTTGGGTATCTTGGTCGATTAGCATCTCTGTTCTAAACTCCACGTGGAAAACTTGGTAAGGAAACTGAAGTTAAACTGGATTTCTTTTTCAGAAATAGATCCTGTCTAACTCTGAATGCTAGGAAACACCTTTTGTATTGAACATTTTTTGAATTTAGGAAACACCTTGTAACTGTGACTTTCCTTCCCTCCATTGATTACGGTGACATTATTTACATGAACGCTCCTACAAGAACCCTGCAGACGTTGGATGCTGCCTATCACGGTGTGCTAAGATTCATAACTGGCTGTAACCACCCACCATTGCACCCTGTATTTATTGGTTAACTGGTCATCATTAACATCACGTAGACTCTCACTGGTACATTTTCTTCTTTAAATCACTTCTTGGTCTGTTGCCTTTATTAAAGGTTTAATTATAGCAACCTTAAAATACTATGGTACATAACCATTCATTAAAGACAAATTAAGCAGATCCAAAATGCAGACATCAGTAAGTGGAAATATTTCTGGTTGGGATGGGATCTAGCAGACATGTCAATGGTTTGGATGAAGCTATTATTTTTGACAATTCAGAGAGCTCAACAGGACAAAAACAATCCAAACATAATTCAGGTTCTGACATTTCTACAGCTGCCTCATCTGACAGGGAATCGGAAGCAAAAGTAGGAAGGATGGTTTGAATTTTCTCCCTAGTTTAAATAATTTTCATTTGTAAAGAATCTCATGAAATCATCACTGCTTATTAACATGATCTGGTATGTGTTTAAACTCAGGCTGTAGACAGGACTTGGGGAGTTCTAAGGAAAAAAATAAAGAACATTGATTTTTATAAACAAAAAGGCTGACGTGGCAACAAAACTTACATGTATCGAGGAAACTGTGGAGACACGGAGGAAACAGAACATGACACCTAGACAGGACAGACCACGGACAAGGGAACAACAACCAGACACAGAACTTAAAGGGACGCTAACGAGGGGATAATCACAAACACCTGGGGAAGGACAAGGAGAACAGGTGGCAGAGGCAGGAGCTTGAGCTTATTACATGGGGCAAGAACACTGAGGAAAGCAGGAAACACAGGGATATAAACACAGAAGACACACAGATACTCACAGTAACCCCCCCCCCCCCCCCCCCGGTCTAAGTACGTCCCGAAACAATCTACCTAACTCAGGTGGGAGGAGGGGGAAAACAGAATAGAGGGTCCTGAGGAGAAACATAAAACAAAACCGGCAGGAAAAGCCTGGGACCTAAATACACACACACAAAAAATTGTTCAGACCGACTGCCAGGGGACTGCCAGTGGACCGTCCGGAGCGGCACAAGAGTTCTGGTGGACAGCCCGAAGGCCATCCAGAGTGGGGCAAGAGTTCAGTCGGATGGCCCAGCGCAAGTCCATCACTGGCCAGAGATGTCCACCTAGAAACTTGCCACTTGAGATCAGTAGAATGAGGGATTCAGAGATCATAGGGGAGACTTTGTCGGCAGGTGAAGAGACCACTGGGAAGCCTGCAGTGGCAGGAGAACCAGACTGGGAACCAATCATGATGGATGCGGTGACAGACACAGATGAGGAACCATCGATGAAAGATGCGGTGGCAGACACAAATGTGGAACAATTGATGAAGGCTGCAGTGTCAAACACCGACGAGGAACCAGTGATGATGGATGCAGCGGCAAACACAGAGGAAGAATCAGTTCTGATGGATGCAGCAACAGAAATTGAACCAGTGATTAGAGCTGCAGGCAGTGAACCAGGAAGGAGAGCCACAGCAGGCGACCCAGCGATGGGAGCTGCAGGTGGCGATGAGTCTGATGAGGGAGCTGCAGCTGCAGACAGGACCAGAAGATCTGCAGCAGGTGAAGCGACAAGTGAATCTGCAGCAGGCGAGGAGACCGGCAAGTCTACAGCAGGCAATGAGACTGGCGAGTCTGCAGCAGGCGATGAGACAGGTAAGTCTGCAACAGGCGATGAGATGAGGGGATCAGCAGCAGGTGAAGAGACCAAGGGATCCGCAGCAGGCATACAGACCACAGGGGCTGCAGCAGACATGGGGTCCACCAGAGGCTTAGGCGAGGAGGAAGAGTAAGAGGCATCCTCCAGGACCCTCTGGTAGGCAGACTGAGAGGCGTCTTTCAGGACCCTCTTGGTGGAAGAGTGAGAGTAAGACTTTCACTCATTCACACATCTTTACTTTAATACTAACCAATTTATTACCTAGAGAATATTGATGATGACTCACAGCAACTTTGTAGTTAGTCTATAAAAGTAGTTAACCATCAAGAACATTGCCAAAGTGACTTAATTCATCATAGTAAATGACAAGCGGGAGACGTCCGACACAGATTGAATGCATCACTTTGCTTCAGCACTGCAGAGTTCTGCTCCGCCTCTGTGCTTCTGATGGACCGGATTCATTTCTGAGCGCTCACCTTTGAATGGGGCATGGACACTTTACTTGTGATTTATGAATCATTTTGATTTGTGTTCACTTAAAATGTTGTCACATTACAGTCATTGTCAGCACTCTGCGCCACCACTCCCCTATATGATTTTATATTTAAATATTTTATAGAATTTCACTGACAATTCATCTGGTGAGTTTGGAGGACACTGAGTCATTTTTCCAAGGAACGTCTAGTCATTGCGCCTCCCCCAGTATCACTTTCTGAAGCATTAAACCCAGGTGCAGACAGACACAGAGAACTTGAGGGTAAAGTAAGAAAATGGATTTATTAACAAAAACAAAGGTTGACGTGGCAGTAAAACTTACATGGGAGACATGGAGGAACTGAACATTATGGCTATGGGAAGTATAGAACGGACGGAAGAAACACACTGACACTGAACTTTAAGAGAAACTAATGACAGATAATGATGAACACCTGGGGAAAGACCATGAGGAACAGATACAAACACAAATACATACTCAAAGAAATTAAATACAATCACAAGAAGACAAAAACACAAGGATTCTGACACCCAGTAGTACTCTACAACTACACTCTCTTCTAACCATGTCATTTTAATTTGTATAATACTTTTACCCTCATCTAAAGAGTAATACAGTAAATTGTTTTTTTTAAACTTAGCTGTCAACATGTAAACAACATTAACTCAACTGAGCTCCTATCTTTAGGACACATTTGAAACTAGACAGGATGTGAACATAATTACACATTTTCTTCTGCACACTTGAATACTTGGAACTTGTTTTTACATCGTATTCTAGTTATCGTCTGCTATTGATCTGCTGTGTGGGCGCAGTCTTTTAAAGAAGTCTTTACCTTAGTCTTTACTGGATATCCTAACTTATGTACTTTGCTGTCTGAGAAAGAGTTGAGAAAAACTCCTCAGCATCCTCTGGTGTTAAGAAGAGAGTAAATTCACCACCATGCAGAATCCTGAGCCTGAGTGGAGGAGTTCACAGAAGACTTTGAGGTGCACACACTGTCATGTGTGATTCCTTGTTATTCTGCACAGATTCCTTCTCTGGTTTGGTTTTCTCAAGGCCATTGTGTGATGAACCTCCAACCCCCTCCACTGTGAATGTCTTTACTTAATGTCTTAATGACTCACTCCCCCTGGCAGCTCATGCCTGACACATTTGTCAGCTTGTGTTCTTGTTGGATGCTGTCTTCAGTGTTTGCTTTGAGTCAGATCTTTGCCCTCAGGTTCACCTGGTATGCCACATGGCTGCTGCTGTGCATTTGATCTAAACACCTTGGCTACGTAGCATAGCTAGGCTTAGATTCTGCAAACTTTCTATGAATTCATGTGTTTCACCTGAAACACTAGCAACAGAAACATTATTTTGTTCCATGCTCAGACCTACAAGCAAAGAGTTTGAATTGAAGCAGCTGGGTCATTTAAAAAAAAAATCTAAACAATTGCTTTTAATTCTTCCTGATTTTTATCACAACCGGGCCCAGTAGAGTCTGCTGAGCCGGTCTTCATGCAATCCAGCCAACAAGAGCTGTACATCTCTCTCAGTAGCTATGTGCTGCCTCTCGTGTTACGTGAACACCCGCAGCTTATACACAACTGTGGCTTATATATGTACAAAATAGTTTTTGTTTTTTCTTAGTGTTCGTAGGCCTGTCACAATAACAATTTTTGCTGGGCAAAGAAATTATTGTGATAAACGATAATATTGTTTGAAATTTGACAATAATTAGTAATTATTGTCAAATTTAAGAAGAAATGTTTAATTAGTTTTGCGTGTAGTACCTTTTTCTTTGTCGCCCACCGGATAGCATTATAAGAATGTTTGAACCGAAGGATGGATAGTAAGGGAGCGAGCAGCGTTCCTCTTTAAGAAAAATGGGACGGAGGCCCCTTGACGTGACATGGGCTGTCTCTCTTCGGTTCTCAAAATGGCGGATGCTCGGTGTGGTTTGAGCTCTTTAGCATAGCATTTTACACACAAAGCTTTTAATTAAAAAAATCAGTAAACAAGGTCTCAGCTTATTTTTGTAGAGAAAACCTTTTTACAGGATGGCACGGGTTTCAACTGTGAATTTTGGAGCTTTGACAAGATGGAGTTTTTTTCCTGAGGTTGGCCTCTCAGCTTAGCTACTTTTAATGATCCATTACTGCAATTTTGGATGGTTAAAACAGATTTTAAAGAGAAAAGAGAAAGGGATGGGTCAGTGAAGAACACTGGAGTTGTGCCTTTTGTCATCCAGTGTCTTCAGTAAAAAGAGAGACATGAAGAAACGATAAAGCTGATAAATGAAAATGAGGTTGATAATTTTCATTTATCATGCGATTAATTAATTTATTGTTTATCGCGACAGGCCTAAATGTGCACAGCTTATAGTCAGGTCACTCTATAGAGCGGCAAATACGGTACTCTGAACTCATTCCTCCTCACAAGAAGATGACGTTAGTCTAAAACTGTTGCGGCGGGCGGTCTGAATTTCTTCAAAGAATTCTACGCATTTCATCTGTAATTGTACTTATTAGATGTAAAACTGGAATTGTTTCTTCACAACTGTTGGTGAAAACACTCACAAAAATGCAGCAGAATTTAACATTTTACACCAATTCTTTCTGAGTCGGCTTGATTTCTGGTTTTTACAGCAGCTGCAGGTGATGTCTGATATGAAACAGTTCTTTGAATATCTAAAAAATGTTAAGTCTGGTCCTCTGGACGGGTTCTTTGAATAACTTTTTAAGACACTAAATGTAGGTCAGTAGTCTCTACAAAATGTTCATATGATAATAAAATAATTTCAGTTCATTTTAGATGTGTAAACTTCAGAAGAACAGGAGCTCCTTATGTTCAGCAGTGCATACAGTCACATGTTATGAGAACTGGACTTTATTTGAACATCCTGTTGTGTTGGACATTCTTCTGACTCTGGACTCCAGTTTTTAGAGAAAGTTGGAGTGAAGATGCTTCTTCTGTTTGTTGGTGTGTTAGTAAGTGCTGTCCAAGGTGTTTTCTTTCTGCCCAGTGAATACGCTGACAGTCTTAAATATATTAAAGTCTTGCTCTTGCACACTGTGGTTACACGGCAGTCTGGGCTGAATCCTATAGAAAGAGTAAATAAAAACCTTTGGGTCCATTTGATCAAGCTTTTCTTGGTTTGTTTGTTTTCAGGCAGCGCTGAACAGAGACCCACCCGGAGCAGCTGGGAGCCTTTCTGAGAACGACAGCAGGGTGGAGCTAACCAACGACAACAGCCCTCTGACGGCGGCTGAACCTCCCTCTCCTTTCAGCCTCAAACAGAACCAAGATGCTGCCTCACCACAAGGTGATTCTGTCACTTTCTAATGTTTGGAGGCAAAGAGACATTGTATTAGTGCTGTTGTAGTCAGGAAGGGACCAGAATCCAACAGGGATATGTTCTACTGCATGACATGTCTCTTTGATGATGGTCATCAAAGCTCCCACATCTCTGGTCCTTGACCATCTTTAAGTTTTCAAGAAGACAGAAAATACAGAGGGCTGTAACAAGATGCTGTGCCACGTGATCTCACAAGATCAAGTGTTTAAAAAAAATTTGTTGTGAAACAAAAATACTTTTCATGACTTTGTCTGGTGAAATGATGATTTAAGGTGAAATGATGATTCAATATGAAATGATGACTGAAGGTGGAATGATGTCTGAAAATGTCTCCATCTCTTTTATGGCAGCAGATTGAACAAACAGGTCAGACATTAGGACCACGCAGAGACAGCTACTCCATTCTCCTGAGCCTCTGCAGCTACGTGCTGAGAGGAAGAGTTATTGAAAGCAGAACAGACTTTGTACCGACTTCACAGAGTCACTATCTCTGAAGCTGACAGAATAAAATTAGAACCTGTCAATTCAATTTTTCCATTCAGTTTATTTATATAGCACCAAATCACAAAATAAGTTGTCTCAGGGCACTGAACAGAAACATTCACATACACTGTACATATAAAAGTCAATTAGTAAAGTTATCTATATGAGGCAGCCAGCAGACTCGTTGAATCTTCACTTTGTCACAGTCTCCCATCCTGAGCTAGCACAAAGGAGACAGTAGAAAGGAAAAACTCCCTCCAAACAGGAAGAAACCTCCAGCGGAACTAGGCTCAGGACAAGCGTCCATCTGCTTTGACCGGCTGGGTTTGAGAGGACAGGAAGGAGACACAAACAGAATGGCAGCTCCAGATGTAGGTGCAGGTGTACCCCTATTGGAAGAAAGACAAATGTCAGAACATTTGAACATAAAATAACTGCATTATTACTAATAAAACAGCTAAACTAGACAGACAAAATCATCAGAATCAATGCAAGAATGTAACAATTATTAAAAACATTGATACTCATTAAATGCATCGCATTTCTCACAGTTCAATTATATCACAGCACAGTTCAGAATTTTAATCCGTACATCAATCAGCCCATTCAAATCACCAAAACCTTATTTTTGTAGCTATAATCCTGTGTAATACTGGAATCTGACGATATTTTGGACAAACTACATACATGAAACTGAGGTTCACATAGAAAACTGATTTTTTTTTAAGAAAACCCAAAAAACAAAAGTGAAATAGAGACGCAGCTTTGTTACAACTTTGGCTGAACAAACATGCATTTTAATGGTTTTCAGCTTTTAGTCTTAATATTGTTTAGTTCCTGGAACTAAAGCAGCAGAGACAGTGACACTCAAACAACTGTGCCTGAACACTTTTTGGTACAACACCAGTCCTGCAGCGATGTGAAACAAAGTGAGCACGGAGGAGTGGAGAACTCACCTCAGCTGGGTTGACTTGGAGGTTCAACACATTACATGTGTGATGGACGTCTGCCTCATATCTTTGTTAAAACATGATGAACTAACTCACTTTAGAGATCCTTGATTAAAATCCTTGAATTTACTTTGTAGTTAAAACACACCTCTAGCAACATTGCAACCCCCTGGCGCAGCACCACAGTTTGAGAACTACCGATACTACTTGAGTCTAATCAAAATGCACAAACTTCTGTCTCTGCTCCTTTTTCCTTCCTGGACAGTCATGTGGTCTGATCAGACCAACCCAGTGGTTCTGCTCTGAGATGCTGCTCAGACAAGTACTAAATGTTTCCTTACTGGTTTCTTTTTCAGCTTTGTTCTGTTCATTTGGGTTTGTAGGCCAGTAATGGAGCTTTGTTCCAGAACCCATATCCAAAGATCCCCTTTTACCCTTGTGTCCTACAGAGGTTCTGCTTAGGTCCAGGTCTCAACACATGGCTAATATTGGTTTATACCGCTGTTATCAGAGAACGTGTGTAACTACACAATAAACTTTTATTTTTGTGTTTCTTCTCACACTCCTGGATCTATTTTGATCTTTGTCCTGGTTCTGCTCCAGCATCTCTCCCATCTTTTCTCACCAGCTCTTCAGGCGTGCAAGGTCTTCAGGCATGAGACATTCTGGAGCAGCTTTGTTCTCGTATTCACCAAGCTGCTTCATGTCTCTTGTTTCCATCAACTGAACTTTTGTCCCTTCAGATTTGGACTTCTTATCCATGTCAGAGCATTGTGTTCACGTGACTTTCTTTGAATGAGTTCATGTCCTGATCCTCTCCAACAGACTGTCTGTCTGTCTGTCTGTCTGTTTAGCTGTACAGAACTGTTCAGTCAGTCCTACATTTATAAAACATAACACATAACTCAGCTTCAAAAGCTACATTCCTCAGTATATTGATCCAAACATTGATTGGATTTATCAAATGATCACATTAAGATCAAATAGATTATTAATAGGTGTAGTAGTACTGCTGTCTAATTTTATGCAGATTGCTGCAGTTTCACACTTTTGTTCTGGGTCATTGTTTTAAATCCAACGTGTCTCTGCAGAGACCAACAAACAGCCTGTCTCTCTCTGTCCAGACAAAATTCAGTCTTTCCTCCTCTGCCATCTGTCTAACCTTCTGTTGGTCTCTTCTCATCCCCCTCTCTGTTGCTGGTCATCGTCTTTGTCCAGATGCTAACCAGTGTTCGGCAGGAAGCAGGAAGAGAGGCAGGAAGAGGCCTGAGGACCAGAAGCTGACATGGGGCTCTTACTGCCAGGTGTGTCTTTGGGATATGTTGGATTTAAAGAACAGCATTCAAGAGAACCTTAAGGTGTCTGGGACTTCAAATATTTTTGATAAATATGAATGCACATTTAGAAAGATAATATAATTAATAATACTTAATACTACTGCAGAGGAACAGTTGAGTTAAATGTTTTCATGAACAGTAACAGGAAGTGATGTCAATAACAGGAAGTGATGTCAATAACAGGAAGTGATGGCAAAGGAGAACACCTGCATGTGAACAGAGCATTGCTACAATGGCTAACAACACAGACAGTAGAGAATCTGATGTTTCTTTAGATTATTTTGAGTCACTCTCAGAGAGAGACGAAGAGTCAGAGTTCAAATAATATTGTTTTAATAAACAAGACCACTGTAAAGTGATCCCCTGTAAATCATTGGTGCAGCCGTTAAAGGGTTTTGACTCGCCGTTGACAGAGTCCCAGATTCACTTTCTTTAGTATATTTAAGTTTATTTATCTCCAACATTATTAAGCATGTCCATACGTTTGTGCATGCGGTTAAAAAACTATATGCCTTCTGGGCTAAACATTGGCCCTAAACATAACTCAGAATATATACTATACATCTCAGACAATTATCATGAACTGCCCATAAACAGGTGCATTCAATAAACAACAATGGATTGGTCTTTACAACCACAGTTCCCTTAGATGTCACTTCCTGTTTCACTTTTGCTGCTCTTAGTTTCGACTAATAATAATACACGGATAATAGTGAATAAATAAGAAGTTAAAAGAAACAGTGCAGACGTCAGATGTCATTAGCAGCAGATCACAGATGTGAATGCTTAAGTTCAGTGTTCTGTGTTTGAGTGAGGTGCAGTTCAGCAGTCTGACTGCATCCACGTAGAAGCAGTTTTTCATTCTAGAGATTTTTGTCTAGATGCAGCACAGCCTCCTCCCTGAGGGCAGGGGGATGAACAGTACTTGTGCAGGATGGGTGGCGTCTGGTGGGGTCATGGAGGATGCAGGTGGCTCTGGTTCTGCACCTGGTGGTGTAAAGAGCAATGGTAAGCTGCACCTGATGGTCCTCTGAGCAGACCTTACCTAACCCTCTGCAGCGCCTCTTCCTCTGCCACAGTGCAGCTGTCGTACCACACCATGAGGGTGGAGGTCAGGACACTCACCACCACACAGATGTAGAAGGACCTGAGAATATCAACATTCAGACCTGCTCTCTGGCCCTGGTGTTGGTGTTCCAGGTGAGGGTGTTGTTCAGATGCTACGTGAGGTACTTGATCATCTCCTTGGTCTTCTGGAGTTTGAGGATGAGGTTGTTGTCTCTGCACCAACACGTCAGGTCCTCCACCTCCCACCTGTACAATCACTCGTCTCCATGTGTGATCAGTCTGATCACCGCTGTGTCATCTGCAAACTTCAGGTTCTGGTTGAGGTGAGCTTTGCAAAAAATGATATTGGTGTTGAACAGCCGTGGGCTGAGCACACAGCCCTGGGGTTAGCCAGTGCTCACGACGATGGTAAACAATTTGATGTTGTTGATGCTGACACTCTGTGGCCTTCAGGTCAGTAAATCCAGGACCCAGTTGCACAGGAACAAAGGGGATCCCAGTGCTGCCAGCATGTACACTGTTTTCTGCAGTGATTGTGTTGAATTCAGAACTGAAGTTTGGGAACAGCAGCCCCGTGTAGGAGTCCCAGTTCTCCAGGTGAGACGGGGCTTGGCGGGGCAGAACAGCAGATCTCTTTGTCACAGGGATGATGGGACTCTGGCACGGGACAATGAGTTGTTAAATATTTCTGTCAGGACCTCAAACAACTGATGTGCACAATCCCTCAGAACCCTGCCTGGGATCTCATGAGGAGCTGGGGCCTTTTGAGGGTTGACCCTCTGCAGCGTCCTCCTCACCTCTGATGCTGTGATGTTGATGGCCGAGTGCTTGTGGGGTTTGGGGGTGAGCTGGGAAGGAGTGCTAATGTTGGAGGTTTCAAAGCAAGCATAAAAGGCCTTCAGCGTGTCAAAAAGTGCAGGATCCACAGGGCCCAGTGCACTGTGCTTCTTGTACTCAGTGATGCAACTGAAGCATTTCCACATGTTTTGTGTGTCACTTGACAAAATGTGATCTTGTATGTTCAGAGAGTATGTGGACTTATCTTAATTCCCCTGGACAGGGGTCTTCTGGCTGATCTTAGTGCTGTTGCATCACCTTCCCTGAATGCGGCATCACAGGTTCTCATCAGGGAGCTCACCTCTGCAGTCAGTCAGGGTTTCTGGTTCAGTAGTATGATGAAGGTCCTGGAGGTGGTCACATTCTCCATACAATTCCTGATGTAATGCAGGACAGATTTGGCATACTCTAGGTCCACAGTACACCTTGATGCTGCAGCCTCCCTGACATTCCCCAGTCTGTGGTGTCAAAGCAGTTCTGGAGCAGACACATCACCATCGTACCACACAGAGATGGTTTTTGTCAGTATCAGAAGAAAATATGCCAGTTATGTGAAAAAATTGGTAAAATCATGTGTAAAATTTCAAATGTTTTAAATATTTAGATGTTTTCTACAGAAGAACATGCATGTGTCTTTAAAGTTGTGTTGGTTGAAGGGGTTTCTGTGTGCATTTGTCATTTGTGTGTGTTTTCAGGACAAGTGTTTAGGAGAAGGTCAGTTGGGCCTAAGACAGAGACCTCAGCGGAGGACTTTCTACCAGGCCAGCCACACAACAAACGTGCACAACAAACATCGCAGGCAGCAACACAAACGGGAACACAACATGTCATCAGTAAATTCACCAACAATTCATCAACATGTCACCTAAAATTTTTATTTTTTCTTTAGACTTAACTGTGTATAAGAACAACAAGAAGTTTTAGCAGTTACCGTTTATCACAAAATAGAATGCAAACAAAGGTTGGTCAATTCAAATACAAAACATAGCTTTAAATGCAAACCAAACAAACTAAGCTGTGATTTTTGGTCTATTTAAATTTAAAACTAATTTTCTTTTTTTTTTTTTTTTTAACTTATTTTTTATTGATCATTTCCTTAAACATTTATAGTGGAGAAGTCTCAACATATTTACATCCAAATGCATTAGTGTCTTATCAATATACGTCTTAGCTAGTTATAGAAGTGTTGTCTTCTTTGTTTTTATAGTTCCGCCATTTTTTCCATTTTTCAACAAAATTATCCTCTTGCATTCTCAGCCTATAAGTGAGATTTTCCTTCACAAAAATCTTATCCACAGTGCACAGCCATTGTCCCACATCTGGAGGTTCCTCTTTGTACCATAATCTTGTGATAGCTTTCTTAGTCGCAGAAAACAAGATTTTTTTTTTTTTTTTTTTTTACCAAGTATTCATCTTCTTTTTGGATTATGTCACATGTAAAACATCCCAAATATATTGTCCTACATGTTCTGGGTATTCCATATCCAAGTATTTTTTTCATAATATTACATATGTTATCCTAGAATCCAATTATCTTTTGACAGGACCAAAATACATGAGTATGGTCCACATCCGTCTGATCACAGTCTCCAGCACAGATGTGAGCTGGATACTATATTCTTCCTGATCTTTGGAGTTATAAAAAAAATCTAACTACATTTTTCCAAGTTAATTCTCTCCAGGCACGAGAGCAAGTGGCCGTACATTGTGTTTTACAAATTTCAAACCAATCTTCCTCACTTGTATGTTCATTTAATTCATTTTCCCATTTCTCCTTAATATATAAAGTAGATATTTCCCTGCCTCCCATCAACCCCTGGTACAATGTCAATATTACTCATAGGCCTCATAGGCCTTCTGAAATATTTCAATTATTGTACTTATGTACGGTTTTTATCTCTTTCTCATAATAGTCTTTTATCTGTAAGTATCAATATTGATCCTGGTCATCCAATCCAAACTTGGTCTTTAAGTTATTAAAACTCAGCAATCTATCCTTTTCAAGGTGGAGGGGAGTGGTGGCGCAGAGGTTAGAGAAGGTGAGCCTGTGATCGGAAGATTGCCGGTTCAAGCCCCGGTACCGACAACATCAAAAATGTGGGTGGGGTAGGTGAAGCACCCACACCTGCCCCCACCCTCATTCGTCCCACTCTGGGCCCTTGAGCAAGGCCCTTAACCCCCACCATCTGCTCCTCTGGGTGTCCTAGATAGCAGCTCTCTGCTCCACACAGAGGGCTGTGGTAGCTTGGTGGTCTGTGGTTGCATCAGGAAGGACATGCGGCATAAAAATAACTGCCAAGTCTTCGTGCAGCTTAGTTTGCTGTGGCGACCCCTAACGCAGGGAGAAGCCGAAAGAAGAAGAAAAAAAAACACCTATCCTTTTCAAGCATTTTACAAGTCGCTGTAATACCTTAAACCCTTTATCATAGACCCCTGGACTAAACCTCAGCTCCCAAGCAAACCAACTCAAAATCTTTGTTTCTTTCTCCAGTTTATAATTATCTACTACTACATTCCATATTTCAATTGTAGTCCTAGTTATCAAATCTAACTCATTATTTAGTTTGCCTAATACTCCTTTATGTGCAATTAAGTTTCTAATTTCCATCCCTTTTCTACCTATTTCGATGTCTTTCCATCTTGAAACATAGTTGTCATTGCACCAATATACCAGAGGTCTGATTTGTGTGGCCCAGAAATATTCCTTGAGGCCTGGTAAACCCAAGCCTCCTCTGTACTTTGGGAGCTGAAGCATTTTATATCTAATCGTAGGTTTCTTCCCATTCCATATAAACCTTGATATCCATTTATCCCATTCTATAAATTGCTTTTGTGGAACCTTCAGTGGCAACGACTGAAACAGGTATAACAATCGTGGTAAAATATTTATTTTAATTATCTCCACTCTTGAATTAAGGTCCAAACCAATGTCTATCCATCTAGTCAGGTTGTTCTTAATATCTTGATTTAGTTTTGAATAATTTGCGTCATAGAGTTTACCTATCTTTTTGGTTATGTTTTCCCCAAGGTATTTTATATATTTTTTATTCCACTTGGGTTTGTAAGTATCCCTTACTTTCTGCTGAGGGGAGTAATTTATTGTCAAAATCTGTGTTTTTTCAACATTGATTTTATATCCAGAGAATTTTCAGTAGTACTCAAGAAGACTCATTGTTTTTAGCAAACTTTCATTGGGATTTTTTAAATATATTAATATGTCATCTGCAAACAGCCCTATTTTATGTTCTTCCCCTCCTATCTCCACTCCCCTTATTTCCTCTTCCTGTCTAATCATCTGAGCTAACAGTTCTATAAACAATGCAAAAAGGCTTGGTGAGAGGCAACATTCCTGTCTGGTTCCTCTCTCCAGTATAAATCTACCTGACAAATGACCATTTATTTTAATCCTTGCAGTTGGTTCCCTATAAATTGACTTTATACAATTTATAAATATCTTGTTAAATCCAAAATTGTCTAGAGCTTTATTTAAAAAAAAAAAAATCCAATTGACACTATCGAAGGCTTTCTTCGCATCTATACTTACTATATTGCACTATCCCCTCTACTTCATAGGTGGTCTATGATATGGAGAGTCCTACTAATATTGTCTTGTGTTCGTCTTTCTTTAATAAAACTGGTCTGATCCATGTTAATCAAATCTTTCTTCAAGTTTTCCATTCTTTTAGCTATGGTGGAAGAGAATAGTTTATAATCTACATTCAGGACTTATATTGGTCTATAAGTACAGGTATAGCAGTATTCCTGATCTTTACCCTCCTTTGGGATAACAGAGATAATAGCTTCTTTCCATGAAGGGGAGATCTTATCAGTCCTGAGACTATAATTAAACGAGTCATATAGTAATGGGATTAATTCTTCTTTAAACATTTTATAAAAAGAAGCTCCCAGTCCATCTGACCCTGGTGATTTTCCTGTTTTAGTCCTGCCAATTGCCTTTGTTTGTTATTGTCTGTGTCTCCCCGCTTTTTGTAAGTTTCACTGCCACGTCAGCTTTTTTTGTGTGTTTTATTAAATTAGTTTTCTTTATTTTACTTTCGAGTTACTTGTGTCAGTCTGCACTCTAGATTCAAAATGTGGCTAAACATGTTAAAGCATCTGTATGTAGCCAGGCCGGCTGCAGTAGCTGCGGGTAACGAGCCACATCTGTCGCTCATCAACTGCAGGAAGGTGGTTAGACACAGACAAACACAGCAAAAAACTGAAATCCTCTCATTTTTAATGGAAATAGGAAGACTTAAACTTACACTTCTCACTTCATATCTAAACTTTCTTTATTAATTACATGTATTTTGTGTGAATTTATCCATTTTAATTAGTTTATTCATTCAACTATGAACACCTTCTACACACCCAACAGTGTTAAAAAAACAACAGAAAAACAGCACATGTTCAGGTCTTTTTTCAGGCATCAGAGGGTGCTTCTCTGTTAAAACTGACAAAACGGCATTTAGATGTTTTCTTTTAGCGTTTGACTTTAAATACAGTCGCCGCCTAAAACAACAGAGAGTAAGTGAAAAACAGAAGGAAATTGGTGGGTAGTCAGATCTGGATGGGGAACAAAACTTCACACAAGATAGGCTCACAGCACCCATCTGAGTGTATGAACCATCCTGCTGTCAGTTAACTTGATGCATTCCAAGGTTTTCAGCCTCGTCAGCCTTCAAAAGCCCAACCTGGCTCGTTCACCTCTGTATCAGCCAAAATAGAGCTAAACTCAGCTGAAGTACTGTCTGAAATCCCAACATTCATCAACCTTCTTATCACAATCTAAATCAAGCAAAAGCAAAGTTAAAAAGAAGTCCAGCTCTGTTCAACTTACTTCACAGAGTTTCCTAATACCTGATGAATAATAATTGAACGATTTGTTTGCAGTGGTATTTAGTAGGGGTGATCACAGCTTTCTGGCCAATCACCGATTTCTAAAAAGTCTGACCTGGCGATTCCGATTTTGGCTGATAACGATTTTGTTTTATAAGCGACGCTGTCAAGTGTTATAAGGTCACAATGTACCTTCAATTTGCCAATATTATTTTATTGAAAAACATACTCTTGAACAATATCCTAGAAACAAAACAAACTTGTTTTAACTGGCCATGAGGTAGCGCTCTGAAATATAAATGAAGTTTAGACAATTGTTGTTAAAACTAAAAAATCTGTAAAATCGGTTTCTCATTTAAGTATCGGCCAATTTCCCAAAATTAAGGAAATCGGGGTCGGTGCACCCCTAGTATTTAGAGATGTACAACAGGCACTTTGATCAGTCTTCTTTGGACAAAAAAAACAATGTAAACAAGTGTTTGTGTGGCCAAGGCCCAAGAAGAGGTTTTGTTTTTTGTTCATCCAATTTAAACCCATCATGTAAGTCTTTCTTCTGTCTGCTGTTAGTATGCTGGTGGCCCTCAGGGAGTTGTGTCTCCTGAAGACCCAGTGACCCCGTGTCCAGATCTGATGGAACAAGACTCCAAGGATTCAGCCCAGAGCAGCAGCACTATGTCCAGCTCAGAAAACCAACCAGAATACAGCGTAAGTAGACTGAATGTGATGAAAATACTAGGTGTGTTTCTGTCTCCACTCTCTGAGCACAGTTTACAGACCACTGAAGAAAAGATGGACAGAATACTAGAAATTGCTCAAATCTTCCAAACTGTTGCATACTTCTTTAAAGTTGTTTCTAATAGAGATGGAAAAGCGTTTTTTTTTTTTTTTTCTGGTAGTTTCTGAGTAATTTAAGGCTGACCAAAGCAGCAAGGTATCTGTCTGTTAGCAAAATATGTAATGAAATGTTGTATGAAATGTACCAAATTTTAATTCACTTCACTATCAAAACTATATTTACTGTAGAAGGGTTGTCACAAAAACTCATTTCTTAAATCAAATAAATTATTTTAAACTTACTACATACTAATAAACATTAACACATCATAATCATTTTATTTCTGCAAAGAGAACATTAATGGGGGAGTAAGCATAAACTGTTTTCTTTTAGCTTTCAGGGCTAACTTATTCACAATTAACAGCTCTGCAGGGCCCTAATAAACAATGAGTTCCTTAATAAATAGGGTGGCCCCTAATAGTGTTTTCCTTAACAAAGATCATAGTTGCTAAAAAACATGGTGGTCCCTAATAAACAGAATGGTTCCTAAAAAACACAGGGTGGTCCCTAAGAAACAAGATGGTCCTTAAGAAACAGGGAGGTCCTTAATAACATTGTGATCTCTAAAAATCATGGTGGTCCCTAATAAACAGATTGGTCCCTAATAAATAAGGTGGTCCTTAATAAACAGTGAAGTTCCTAATAATCAAAGTGGTCTCAAACAAACAGGGCGGTCCCAAATAAACAGGGAGGCCTTTAATAATCAGTGTTGTCCCAAATAAACTGGATGGTCATAAAAAACAGAGTGACCCTATTAAACAAGGTGGTCCTTAATAATCAGGTTAGACCCTAATAAAATATGAGGACCCCAATGGTCCCTAATAAACAGAATGGTCCTTATTAAATTTTGTCCTCTAATAAATAGGGTGGAGACAAATAAACAGTGTTCCCTAATAAACAGGGTGGTCCACGTCAAGTACAATTTGCAACATCAAAATCCAATGTGACTGCTGCCATAAATATTAGTACATCTTGTGAACTGGATAACTTGAAAAATTAGTTAAGTACTATTTTCCTATTTGGTGTGTGGCTGCATATACTATAGGTGTGAAAATAAGATCACTATTGAAAATTGGGTTGGCACGGCAAAATCCACGATGGCCACTATACATACCAGAGTATCTCTTGTGCCGGTCCCAAGCCCGAGTAAACGGTGAGGGTTGTGGTTGTGTCAGGAAGAACATCTGATGTAAAACAATTGCCAGACCTAACATGTGAGTTCATCTATTAGACACCTTACCAGATCAGGTGAGGCCCAGGTTAACAATGACCACCACTGGTGCTGTTGACAAACAGGGTGCCGGTGAAAATTGCAAGTCAGTGAGCCGGCCTCCAGGTTGAGATAAGGGAATGTTTTGAGCATGTTCTATGGCGTCAATGCCAAGGAGGCATTGCGAGTCAGTGAGCCGGCCTCCAGGTTGAGATAAGAAATTGTTTTGGTAGATAGCAGGTTTTCAGGGCAGAGGGAAACATGTTTCTCATCCAGCCACAATATGAAAATACAATAAAACATTCATGACCTTTGACCGAAAATTCTCTGACTAACACCCTTCTCAAAAAACGTCAAACGTTCACTACTTAAATCACTCAGCCAGGAGGAGCATCAATGTACCACTTGTTTACCTTTGGAACAAATAATGCTGGATTTCATCACAACAATCACTGAAAATGAGACATTGTCAGGGACTACCAGTGGAATGAGCCAAGCAGTCAGACAGCTGTCAATGCAGAAGAGAAAGAAGCTTTTTAAAAGGGGAAGTGGAACGTTTGGAGTGGTAAAAAGAAGATACTAACTCCTTTGCAGGAGCCTTCCCACCTGGCCTTGTGTTAGTTCAGGTGGCATCACAGAGCTGGCTGTGTTTGCTCTGTTTCAGAAGGTTGATTCAGCTCTTGATGACCATCGGTCTGTAAAACACACTGAGACACATCTGGATGGCCTTCTTCATGTCTCTGCATGGCTGTATTTACCTCTGCTCAAACACACCCCACACAACATAGCTTTTGTCTATACTGCGATTCTTCATCTACTCGAGGCCCCAGATGGCAAAGGGACAATCATGCTTTTGCCTGTGTTTATATATACCTGTTAGCAGTTTTTATCTTATATCTTTTTTTCATCTTTTTTTCATCTGTTCCCTTTTCACGGGTCTCTGCACAAGTCATCCTCCTATGTCTCACTCTGTCCTCACTTCAACTACCTCCATATCTTCTCTGACTACATTCATATATCTCCTCCTTGTCTTTTTCCTAGCAGCTGCATTTCTCACATCCTTCTACCAATCATATCTGGCATAATTTCCCATTGGCTGGACTTGAAGAAACAACAAGGTTTCTGTCTTCACAATAGAACATCTTTGATGGAACACGAGTCATTTGGAAAATCACAATGAAGATAGACGAGCGCAAAATCTTTGCCATGGACGAAGTGAACTGTTTGGTCTATGTTATAACTAGTCTCTTCTAATGTTGGACACTGTTACTTTTGAGATAAATCTCATTATCTGCCAACAATATAATATACTGTGTAATTTAAACTTGATTTGGCAAAAAAAAAAAATCCTACTTTAGCAATGTTATGTGTGTTGTAATCCGTTCCGTTACCTTTTCCAGCATAACGTTATCTGTTATGAAAGCGTGTCAGCATGTAACGATAGCTAGGATGTCAGCTAACATCAGTGAATTGTGCGTTAATGTTAGCCTAAAATATTACTCAGTTCAATGCGAACAATTTTGGGAAGGCTATTACTAATGCATCCATATTGCTGTCTGATAATAATGCGTCATTGTCATAAGATAAATGCTAAAGATAAATGAAAACTAACATGTAACGTTAGTAATAATGAAACACGATACACCAATATTTTCTTTAAGTGATTGAAACATCTGCTCTGGTGGATCATTAGATCAACAAATAGGGCAGAAGAAGTGGAGCAAGAGAGTGTGGCATGAAAGAGGCACATGGCCAAGCAACGGAAATGGGCCCTTGATAGGTTTGTCCAGGCCAAGGAAATTATTAAATGAGTTTTTACTATTAGCAAAATGCTCTGCTATATTTGGATCTTCTGGTTAGCTTGCTGCTGTTGTTTCTTGTTGTTATTATTGTTTTATTTGGTCGTCTTTTCCCACAATTTTCTTCTTGGAGTATACCAGAATGCTTTATTTTACGTTTTAAAAATCAGTAAATCTGTCTGGGGTGGAACAGACCATCTCAGTCTGGCCTCTCTAATTTTATCTCTCAGCTGTTCAACCTGTGCTGTACCTCTGATGATCTCATTCCTAATCTTAGCCATCCTTGTCACTCCTAAGGAGAACCTCAACATCTTTATATCTGCCCCTTCCAGTTCTGTGTCCTATATTTTGGCCATGTCTCTGTCTCCAAACATAGCTGGTCTCACCACTGTCTTGTAAACTTTTCCTTTGATCTTTTCTGACACCCTTTTGTCACAAATCACTCCTGAAACTTTTCTCCATTCACTCCATCCTGCCTAGACTCTGTTCACCATACTCCCTATTTTCCTGGACTGTAGACCCTATGTACTTGAAGTCCTTCACCTTTGTGCCCTTTGCTCCATGTAGCCTTATGCTGTTTTAAACATAATGTTTATATCTCTGTAAGTATTGCATCATTGTAGCTACAAGAATTAACGGTACATAAAACCTAGAGCAGGACATGTAGTTTCCAAGTTTTTCTACTAGCTACTTTGTGCTTTTTAACATGACTTATGTTGAACAAGTCAAGTCCAAGTATTTAAATATCATGTGCAGACGTTTTATTTTGTAAGTGAATATTAAATTATGGCATTTTTTATTTAATTTACGAGTTCAATTGAGAAAAAAATGTTTCCTCCTGTCCTTTGTGATCCAGACTCACTCCTGCTTTAAGAAAGTAATTAAGTAATTATTACTCAAAATATATTTTAATTACTTTTTCTTTTACTTGAGTAGATTTTAATACAAGCAAATAATAATAAATAAAATTTGTAGGCTCAAAGCAAATTCACTTGTACTTGAACAAAGTCCATGCTCAATAATCCAGGTAAACAATCCAACATTTTTCAGTCAGGTCATCTGGACACTTATACTTGTGAAAAATATCAGCAAAGTAACTGCTTTTACTTGAGTATGTGTTTTTTTTTTTTGCATCAATGGATTTTACACAGACTTAACGTGTCAGGTGTGCCAGGTAAGTATGGTATATCAGGTGCTTAAGGTATGCCAGGTGTGCCACTTGAGTTAGGTGCTGCTAATTTACAAGGAGCAATCAGATGCATCAAGTGTGCCTGATGTATATGGCATCAGGAGTCAGGTGTTCCAGATGCAATGTGTGTCCATTATGGTAGGTGTGTCAGGTATGCCAGGTGTATGAGATATGCCAGATGCATTAAGTGTGTCAGGTGATTCAGGTGTACCTGGCGTGTCAGGTGTGCCAGATGCAATGTGTGTCCATTATGATAGGTGCATCAGGTATGTCAAAGTGTGTCAGATATGCCAAGGTGGGTCAGGTGTGCCAGGTGATTCAGGTATGCCTAGAGTATCATGTCTGCCAGGTGCATCAGGTATGGCAGGTATGTCAGGTAAGCCAAGTGTTAGGTGCTGCTAATTTACATGGAGCAGTCAGAACGATAAGAGGGTAAGAGGGCGGATCGTCTTCAGCGTGTGGCGAAAGAAAACTGGAGACTGGTGAAACAGAACTGGGCTCACGGTTCAGCAGACTGAAGATGCAGCTCGCCGTAGGTCAGAATGAATAGGGAGGTGTGACATCATCAGGGTCCTGATGGAATGGATTTTATTTTTAAATTAAGTCATTAGTTATAAATGATTTAAGATATATGGTAAAGAAAAAAGGGGCAGCACGGTGGCGCAACTGGTAGAGCTGCTGCCTCTCAGTGAGAAGGTCCTTGGTTCAAACCCCGGTCCAGGGGCCTTTCTGGGTGGAGTTTGCATGTTCTCTCCGTGCATGCGTGGGTTTTCTCCGGGTACTCCGGTTTCCTCCCACAGTCCAAAAAAAACATGCATGTTAGGCTGATTGGTAACTCTAAATTGTCCCTAGGTGTGAGTGAGAGAGTGAATGGTTGTTTGTCTCGTTTGTCTCTGTGTGGCCCTGTGATGGACTTGCGACCCGTCCAGGGTGTACCCCGCCCCTCGCACAGTGATTGCTGGACATGGGCACCAGCGACCCCCGTGACCCAAAATGGAATAAGCGGGTAAAGAAAATGGATGGATGGTAAAGAAAAAAAATGTTGTGTCCTTTTTTTTTAGTTTTATTGTCAAATGATGTTTTCTGAAATAAGACATACATTTTTAGCTTATTTAAGTGTGTTTTTTAACCTGCTGCTCTTGCTACTAATCCCTGGTACCACTGCTGTTATTACATTAGAATGTTCCGCTAATGATGTGAGAAAAAAAAAAGTAAAAGTAAATACCATGTGAGCACAGTTGAGTTGTTCTCTTGCATTCTTTAAGAAAAGAACCAAGCTTATCAAGTTTTGGCTGAAGCTGATCTTAACTTATAAAGGACGTGACATATTCTTTCAGTCATGTGAAGTCATGTGTTTGTTTTTTCTTCTCTGTCCCTTGTTTGTCTGCAGGACAACAAAGGTTTTGGAATTGGTGAATTTGTTTGGGGAAAGATCAAGGGCTTCTCCTGGTGGCCAGGCATTGTGGTGACCTGGCGAGCCACGGGCAAACGACAGGCCAGCCATGGCATGAGGTGGCTCCAGTGGTTTGGAGATGGCAAGTTCTCTGAGGTGAAGATGAAAAGAACAAACAATGTGAAAATTAGGAGTGGGACAAAAAAATCTCTGTGTATTTCTGAGTTGAGCCTGATTACTCGGTCTAGCCAGTTGGTACAAGTTCCTAATCCCTCTATCTATGTATATATGTATGTATGTATGTATGTATGTATGTATGTATGTATGTATGTATGTATGTATGTATGTGTGTATGTGTGTATGTGTGTATGTGTGTATGTGTGTATGTGTGTGTGTGTGTGTGTGTGTATGTATGTATGTATGTATGTATGTATGTATGTATGTATGTATGT